CCAAGCAGCGGCCTCTACTACCCCCCATTAGGAGGTTAAGGAGCGGCCTCTACTACCCCCCATTAGGAGGTCAAGGAGCGGCCTTTACTACCCCCATTAGGAGGTCAAGGAGTGGCCTCTACTACCCCCATTAGGAGGTCAAGGAGCGGCCTTTACTACCCCCATTAGGAGGTCAAGGAGCGGCCTTTACTACCCCCCTTAGGAGGTCAAGGGGAGGCCTCTACTACCCCCCCATTAGGAGGTCAAGGGGGAGGCCTCCACTACCCCCATTAGAAGGTCAAGGGGAGGCCTCCACTACTCCTCCAGTATGTCTGGTGGGCTCCAGCGACCTGACCACCGCTGGAGGGAGTGAGGATCGTGGCTCTCTAACTCACGACAAGAAGTCAACTGGGAAATATTACTATACACATTACTCCAGCTTAACATTTCTTGTACTAACACTTGCTACAAGAGGCCAGAGTACTTAAAACAATATAATTTGTATCGGGTGATAAATAATAATTCAACAAATAAAAACAAAGTAATAAAGATAGTAACAAGAACATAAACATAAACAAGCATCAACATAAATACACTGAGAAATCCCATTATCGTGATATATATCAATGGGAAATTCCACAGGAGCCGTATTGAGGAATCGAACCTAGAGCGTGCGTCTGGGAATACCCATAACGCATAGGTTCGAATCCCTCACCACGACGCCTGTGGATTTTCTCATAAATACTTATATTACTAACGTTATTATCAACAATACTTACCTCTCCAGGAAGCAGTTGGTGTGCGTGTGATAGTGGCTGCAGAGCTGGCCTCTCACCGTAGTGCACTATAGCCACGGTGAGAGGCCTCTCACCGTAGAGCACTATAGCCACGGTGAGAGGCCTCTCACCGTAGTGCACAATAGCCACGGTGAGAGGCCTCTCACCGTAGAGCACTATCGCCACACTACTGTGGGGAACGGTGCTCGCAGCACAGTACTGGTGTTGGTCTGACGGACGTCAAACTGAAAAGGAAAGATAGCAAGAACTGCATATTCCTAGGATGCCACAATGACGTTGATATCGTCCCACTTGTATATATTATATAAGCTGGAGGATTATGCTGTAGTTTAATTATATATTATAGTTGATGTCGTCCTCGCTAATACTTGGACTCTACGATGTAGTAAAACGCCGAGTACAGAGTCGATTTTATTGAAGATAACCTTTTGCGTGTACCATTAGAGACCATCATCAGTAAAGTGTACTGTGAACTTGCTGTTTGTTGACACCTCACGAACCCTCCTAGAGCAGTCCTCCGTGGCGAAGTGGTAACACACACTCGCCTGGCGTTTCCCGAGCCCTTTGGCCTGGGTTCGCATCCTGGCTGGGGAGGATTTACTTGGCGCCAATCCTTGGGCCAGATTCATGAAGCAGTTACGCAAGCACTTACGAACCTGTACATCTTTTCTCAATCTTTGGGGGCTTTGTTTACAATTATTAAACAGTTAATGAGCTCCGAAGCACCAGGAGGCTGTTTATAACAATACCAACAGTTGATTGGCAAGTTTTAATGCTTGTAAACTGTTTAATAAATGTAACCAAAGCCGTCAAAGATTGATAAAAGATGTACACGTTCGTAAGTACTTGCGAAACTTCTTCGTGAATCTGGCCCCTTAACTGTAACCTCTATTCCTCCAGCAGTGAAAGGGTACCTGGTTGTTAAACGATTTGGTGGATCGTATTCCGGGCAAAAATTAGAATTAAGGACCTGCCCGTAACGCTATGCGTGCTAGTGGCTGTACAAGAATGTAAAAACTCTTGTATATAAAAAAACTGATGGTAGAGGTTGATGGTTGATCAACCAGGCTGTGACTCATACGTCAGGCTGCGAGCAGCCGCGTCCAACAGCCTGGTTGATCAGTCCAGCAACCAGGAGGCCTGGTCGACGACCGGGCCGCGGGGACGCTAAGTCCCGGAAGCACCTCAAGGTAACCTCAAGGTAGGAGGAGATTATTAAGAGTGAGGCAAGTGTTGTCCTTTGTGCTAGTACTCCACAGAGAAGAGTTCGAACTGGCAATGACTACAGGATTCTACAGGAAGACTGATTGCGAACCTTTGCTTTGGCCAGCGACTGATTGACTTCAACCATACATTGACGGCCAAGAGGATCGGAACTGACACAGAGAGGTCGAAGAAATGCATATTTAGAAAGGAACCTTTCAGTGACAGTGAGAGACATGGTCCTGGGGGTAGACATGACACCGAGCCTGTCACCGGGGGGTAGACATGACACCGAGCCTGTCACCGGGGGGTAGACATGACACCGAGCCTGTCACCGGGGGTAGACATGACACCGAGCCTGTCACCGGGGGTAGACATGACACTGAGCCTGTCACTGGGGGGTAGACATGACACTGAGCCTGTCACCGGGGGGTAGACATGACACTGAGCCTGTCACTGGGGGGTAGACATTACACTGAGCCTGTCACCGGGGGTAGACATGACACTGAGCCTGTCACCGGGGGGTAGACATGACACGGAGCCTGTCACCGGGGGGGTAGACATGACACTGAGCCTGTCACTGGGGGGTAGACATGACACGGAGCCTGTCACCGGGGGTAGACATGACACCGAGCCTGTCACTGGGGGGTAGACATGACACGGAGCCTGTCACCGGGGGTAGACATGACACCGAGCCTGTCACGGGGGGTAGACATGACACTGAGCCTGTCACCGGGGGTAGACATGACACCGAGCCTGTCACGGGGGGTAGACATGACACCGAGCCTGTCACCGGGGGGTAGACATGACACCGAGCCTGTCACCGGGGGTAGACATGACACCGAGCCTGTCACCGGGGGTAGACATGACACTGAGCCTGTCACCGGGGGTAGACATGACACTGAGCCTGTCACCGGGGGTAGACATGACACCGAGCCTGTCACCGGGGGGTAGACATGACACTGAGCCTGTCACCGGGGGTAGACATGACACGGAGCCTGTCACCGGGGGTAGACATGACACCGAGCCTGTCACCGGGTTGGGTAGACATGACACTGAGCCTGTCACCGGGGGTAGACATGACACTGAGCCTGTCACCGGGGGTAGACATGACACTGAGCCTGTCACCGGGGGTAGAAATGACACCGAGCCTGTCACCGGGGGGTAGACATGACACTGAGCCTGTCACCGGGGGTAGACATGACACTGAGCCTGTCACCGGGGGTAGACATGACACTGAGCCTGTCACCGGGGGTAGACATGACACCGAGCCTGTCACCGGGGGGTAGACATGACACTGAGCCTGTCACCGGGGGGTAGACATGACACGGAGCCTGTCACCGGGGGTAGACATGACACCGAGCCTGTCACCGGGTTGGGTAGACATGACACTGAGCCTGTCACCGGGGGTAGACATGACACTGAGCCTGTCACCGGGGGTAGACATGACACTGAGCCTGTCACCGGGGGTAGAAATGACACCGAGCCTGTCACCGGGGGGTAGACATGACACTGAGCCTGTCACCGGGGGTAGACATGACACCGAGCCTGTCACCGGGGGGTAGACATGACACGGAGCCTGTCACCGGGGGTAGACATGACACCGAGCCTGTCACCGGGGGGTAGACATGACACTGAGCCTGTCACCGGGGGGTAGATATGACACTGAGCCTGTCACCGGGGGGTAGACATGACACCGAGCCTGTCACGGGGGGTAGACATGACACTGAGCCTGTCACCGGGGGGTAGACATGACACTGAGCCTGTCACCGGGGGGTAGACATGACACTGAGCCTGTCACCGGGGGGTAGACATGACACTGAGCCTGTCACCGGGGGGTAGACATGACACTGAGCCTGTCACCGGGGGGTAGACATGACACCGAGCCTGTCACCGGGGGGGGGGGTAGACATGACACTGAGCCTGTCACTGGGGGGTAGACATGACACTTAGCCTGTCACCGGGGGTAGATATGACACCGAGCCTGTCACCGGGGGGTAGACATGACACTGAGCCTGTCACCGGGGGGTAGACATGACACTGAGTCTGTCACTGGGGGGTAGACATGACACTAAGCCTGTCACCGGGGGGTAGACATGACACTGAGCCTGTCACTGGGGGTTAGACATGACACTGAGCCTGTCACCGGGGGGTAGACGTGACACTGAGCCTGTCACCGGGGGGTAGACATGACACTGAGCCTGTCACTGGGGGGTAGACATGACACTGAGCCTGTCACCGGGGGGTAGACATGACACTGAGCCTGTCACCGGGGGGTAGACATGACACTGAGCCTGTCACCGGGGGGTAGACATGACACTGAGCCTGTCACCGGGGGTAGACATGACACCGAGCCTGTCACCGGGGGGTAGACATGACACGGAGCCTGTCACCGGGGGTAGACATGACACCGAGCCTGTCACCGGGGGGTAGACATGACACTGAGCCTGTCACCGGGGGGTAGACATGACACTGAGCCTGTCACTGGGGGGTAGACATGACACTGAGCCTGTCACCGGGGGGTAGACATGACAATGAGCCTGTCACCGGGGGGTAGACATGACACTGAGCCTGTCACCGGGGGTAGACATGACACCGAGCCTGTCACCGGGGGGGTAGACATGACACTGAGCCTGTCACCGGGGGTAGACATGACACCGAGCCTGTCACCGGGGGGTAGACATGACACTGAGCCTGTCACCGGGGGTAGACATGACACTGAGCCTGTCACCGGGGGTAGACATGACACGGAGCCTGTCACCGGGGGGTAGACATGACACTGAGCCTGTCACTGGGGGTAGACATGACACGGAGCCTGTCACCGGGGGTAGACATGACACCGAGCCTGTCACTGGGGGGGTAGACATGACACTGAGCCTGTCACCGGGGGTAGACATGACACCGAGCCTGTCACCGGGGGTAGACATGACACCGAGGGGTAGACATGACACCGAGCCTGTCACCGGGAAGTAGACATGACACCGAGCCTGTCACCTGGGGTAGACATCAATACACTCATACCAGCAGCATATGCAACGTTAGTGAATGTCATGACTGCCTTTTGAAACCTAAACAAATATACTTTCAGAACTCTGTATATCACATGGGCGGTCAGTGATATAGTTGGCAGCTCCGGCATGGAGTCCCACCGGCGAAGGCCACCCGTCCTCACACTAGGCTGGTTAAAGCAGCGGTCCTGACGCATTCATCAATTTTAACATACTGTATTGAAAATTGGTGTGTTCTCATATGTAAATCAATATTATTATACATCAAAATTCTATATATAGTTAGACGTAGGTTAGGTTGACGTAGGTCTGTCACCTCTACTCTCCAGGTAACAGACTCCAGTATCAAAGGACCTTAACGTCACTTACTCTGTCTTAACGGGTCGTTAATTAACGGTAATGTTGTTCACCGTTGTTCCTTACTGTAACCTTAGTCCAGTGATGCCTTGCAACCCATGGTGATTGATCAACAAGGTGCCACAGGTACAAGGGTACTGGTCTTGTCAGCTGCAATCAATTATAACCTGTAATAATATCCCGGTCTTCACCAAAGATATTTTTAATCGCTGCGACCACCTCCTCTAATGACCTAAATGTAATTAAGCTAAATGATTGTGAGACGGAAGAACCAGTCAATTAGTCAGGAATTCCAAGAATGTGAATCCTTAATTGCCTTGAAATGGGGAATGAATTTACTTTACTGCGGCGTAAATCAAACGAGAGAGAATGTATTTAAAATAATGAGAGTGCTTGTGAGACCACATGAAATTACCAACAACAATTTAGGATCGTGAACTCTGAAATAATAATTGAGGAGGGAATTGGCTAAACACCATAAAATAATGGAATTCGTTTATTGACACAAAATTATGAAATGCAATCCTATCAAATGTTGCTAACTCTCGAGGCAATGATATGAGTTACTTAATAATGTACTGAGCTTCAAATAACAACTTTACCTTAGAATATCTTCACTCCCACTGCCAAGATGTTTCCTGGCTCTGGGAGAGGTCCTGCGGTCCTCAGTCGCTGCTAAAACCACACTCCTCCTCCTCCTCCTCCTCCTCGCTCCAAGCAAGCACACCCGAGCCTATTGCGCTAGCCTCTCACTGATTACCAACAACTTTTAACAAGACTAATTATCAAAGCTAACTCCTATGCACTTGTCCCACTTAACGGACTGAATCTTTATGCTCCAATCATGTTAAGTTACTTAAGAATTTACATAAATTACATAAATTACATTCTATCGCCCGCTGGATAGAGTGAATTTGGTCTGACAACGGGTTGCAAAATAGAAATCAAGAAATTAGAGCTCATTCGCTTCAAGACTTCAACTCCCTCCCCCTTTGCACTCGTCGGAACAACAACAGCTTCACTTATTGCACGTCGACGTTCAATCCCCAATGGTCTAAGTGGTTGAGCACCACTCCTTCCTACCGTCCTCATGCACCTTGTCTTCATATCCCCTTCCAAGTGCTATATCATTTTCTTATACGATATGGTACTGGCATATAATTTTCTCCTTATAATTACCTTACCTGGCTCTCAGCTTGGTGCCAGAGCTGAGAGGGTGCTGAGCCCAGCATCCCTTCAAGAAAGAAGCGCTAGTGAGCACTAGAATCAGACGAACAAGATGCGTGTTAATATAACAAATAATGTAGACAGAGGTCTTAATTCAGACTATCAACAGCGGGAGGGTTAGTAAGGTCTCCACAAGAGCTGAGCAACCAGCCAGCGTGTGTACTCTCGTGTGTATATATACGGAGGGATGGTGTATATGTGTCTCAGTATATATTATATAGCTGTCAATAAAGTTGACAAGGAATAAACATTAAAGCCGAGCAGCAACAGAGCGAGTGCGCATGCGTAGAAGCTAGAGGCAGACGAGTGCGCATGCGTGGAAGCTAGAGATACCAAGAACTAGTGCGCATGCGTGTTATCTAGACACACAGGCAAGCCACTGGGATAGCTAAGCACTTCGTCTTCAGTGTAAGTGACATAGCTAAGACTCGGCGATAGTCGAGGCTAACCTCACCTCAATATCTAAAAGCATAGATATGATAATTAAGGCAAGGGTTAGGGAACCACTGCATCAGATGACCAATAGTTAAAAAAAGAGGCACAGGAGCTAAATCTCGACCTAACAAACAATTCTGTGTAACTACACATACGTGGGTACAAAGCTACACACACACACACACACACACACACACACACACACACACACACACACACACACACACACACACACACACACAGCTCAACTAGGTGAATACACACACACACAACTGGAAAAGGTTCAGACGTTTGAGGCGAGATTCGTCCCAAAGTTACGAGGGATGGGGTATGAAGAGCGCCTGAAAGAACTGAACCTGACGACACTAGAAAAAAGAAGGGAGAGGGGGGATATGATAGGAACATATCAAATACTCAGGAAGGAGATTGTCAGGGTGTAAATAGACGAAATCTTCACGTTGAATACTAACAGAACAAGGGGACATGGTTTGAAGCTGGAAACTCAGATGAGTCACAGAGATGTTAGGAAGTTTTCGTTTAGCGTGAGAGTAGTGGGAAAAATGGAATGAATTTAAGGAGCAGGTTGTGGAAGCATAATTTTAAAACTAGATATGATAGGGAAATACGACAGGATCGATTCAAGTCTTTGCTATAAACAATCGATGGCTAAAAAAGCCGGAATCCAAGAGTAATGCTCGATCTTGCAGGCAAAAATAGGTGAGTACACACATTTCCTATATTTCCTATTTCCATATACTGGAGGGACTTTGGAACACACCACCAACATGGGTTCAGAGATGGTAAATCTTGCCTCACAGGTTTAATAGAATTCTATGACCAAGCAACAAAAATTAGACAGGAAAGAGAAGGGTGGGCCGACTGCATTTTCTTGGATTGTCAGAAAGTCCTTGACACATTATCCCGTAAAAGGCTGTCACAAAAATTGGAGCAACAAACAGGAGTAAAAGGAAAGGTGCTTCTGTGGATAAGGGAGTATCTAAGCTACAGGAAACAGTGAGTAACTGTGAGGGGGAGACATCAGAGTGGCGTGATGTCACCAGCGGTGTTCCAAAGGGGTGTGTACTTGGACCCATCCTGTTTCTAATATATGTAAACGATCTTCCAGAGGGTATAGACTCATTCGTCTCAATGTTTGCTGATGATGCAAAAATTCTGAGAAGAATCAAGACTGATGAAGATAGACAGAGACTACAGGATGACCTGGACAAACTGGAGGAAGGGTCTAGAAAATGACTGTTAAAATTCAACTCAGGAAAGTGTAAAGTAATGAAATTAGGCGAAGGGAGCAGAAGGCTGAACACAAGGTACTATCTGGGAGGTGAAATCCTGCAAAAGTCAAATAGAGAGAAAGATTTGGGGATTGATATCACACCCTACCTGTCCCAAGACCCCAGAAACCCTCATCAAAAGGATATCATCAGCGGCATATGCTAGATTGGCCAACATAAGAACTGTCTTTAGAAACCTGTGAAAGGAATCGTTCAGGACATTGTATACCACTTATGTCAGACCAATCCTGGAATATGCGGCTCAAGCCTGGAGTCCATATCTAGTTAAATACAAAACAAAGTTAGAGAAGATTCAGAGGTATGCCACCAGACTAGTCCCGGAACTGAGAGGTATAAGCTACGAGGAAAGGCTACGGGAGCTAAACCTCACGTCCCTGGAAAACAGAATAGTAGGGGAAAACATTGAAGTTGAAATTGAAATTGAAATAACTTTATTGAGGTAAAATACACACAAAGGGATGAGGTAGCTCAAGCTATTCTCACCCCGTTCAGTACATCGTGTTAATACATACATATACACACATCACAAACAATAAGCATATTACCAAACATTCAGAGAGATAAACATCTACATTTCTTAACATGATAACCACCTACAAAATTCTCAGGGGAATTGACAAGGTGGACAAAGACAAACTCTTCAGCACGGGTGGGACACGAACAAGGGGACACAGGTGGAAACTTAGTACCCAGATGAGCCACAGAAACGTTAGAAAGAATTTTTTCAGTGTCAAAATAGTTAATAAATGGAATGCACTAGGAAGTGATGTGGTGGAGGCTGACTCCATACACAGTTTCAGATGTAGATATGATAGAGCCCAGTAGGCTCAGGAATCTGTACACCAGTTGATTGACAGTTGAGAGGCGGGACCAAAGAGCCAAAGCTCAACCCCCGCAAGCACAATTAGATGAAATTAGGTGAGTACACACACACACACATACTGGTTGATTGACAGTTGAGAGGCGGGACCAAAGAGCCCGAGCTCAACCCCCGCAAGCACAACTAGGTGAGAACACAGACACAGTAGAGGCACACAGCAAGTGACCCGAGATTACTCCAGCCAGATGGTCAGCACACTCAGAGATACACTTACTGTGACACTCAGAGATACACTTACTGTGTCACTCAGAGATACACTTACTGTGACACTGAAGGACAGCAACAGTGTGCGGATCTCTGCTCTTTGGATTTATTACAGTATTTACAATACTGAAACTAATTGTATAGAAACATGACTTCTTAACTATAGTATAAGATAAGGCACAATATATGTGTGACAGTTTAACTATACAGTACTATAAGGGCTGGTAAAATGTGTGTGTCAGTTTAACTATACTATTAGGGCTGGTACAATATATGTGACAGTTTAACCATAGTCTAGTATGTGCCTCTGTGTGTGTTCATGTACGAGATTGTGTAACAAATTCCCTGGGTATTGGGCACTGTTGACCACACTTTGTCTATCAGTCCATCCATTCTTACTGGAGATATATGAGTGTGAATCAATTGGAGGTATGCCTATATTTTAGCGTAGACCGCTTATACGCACAGACAGACAGATAGACAGACTGACAGTCCTGTCATCGCTTGGATCGCCCTCTTTGTATATTGCTTCAGTATACTCAGAAAATGATTGTGTTTTACCTTTAATCATGTCGTTAGTAGCAGAGACGGACACACACAACATTAAATCCATCATCTCTTATCCGCCACAATTCCCTAGAAGAACTGAAAGCAGTTTTGTGTGTCATACGAATTTGACAGATAGAGAGAGAGAGAGAGAGATAGACAGGTAGCAGTG